AGCCACCGATGTTAAAGTGTACTACTTGATTTAATGTCAGCCGCTTAAGTACTTTAACAGTGCTTGTGCTTTTGTTATCTGATATATGATAGTGAACGTTTTGTCTCCGAGGGTTAAACCATCCAAGTAGTCAGCATTTTGTCTTGACATGAAACATCATTGATATATGAATAAGAAGTTGTGGTATGAATGCCAATGAGGCAACTCTCCATCCAAGTCATATTCATTTTATGTAGATTTACTGTACATGAAATGAACATTTTTTCGAAACACTAAAGTTTTTCTATCCCAAGGAACAGATTGCCTAAGCAGTATTTGGCAAAATGTTTTGATTTTTAAAGCCGTACAACTTCGTATGTTTTTAATTCAAGTGACATTGGTGAGTCTTATGTAAAACTATAAGCCTGATAGATTTCATAAGTTATTTTTAAAGTAAAGTGAATTTCCTGTGTGTATTTTTTATTGTACGTTCTTGTTTGTACTCTTCGTTACAGTGGCGTAGCATGCCTTCTGTTATTACCGAGGCAGGGAGTTTGGGGGGCGCAGGCCCCCAGAAGCTGTAGAGGTTTTGAAATTTGAACAAGAAGATTCTATTAAAAAATAGCAGTTGTTTTATTTTACTTCATCATGATAATGTTAATATGCCTTACATTAAGCTATACTACAGATGTTTTAGTTGATTACTGGTACCTACATCATTTTGAATTTTGAATGTTCAGATGAATACAAAAATGTTCTCAAAACATTTACCACTTTTTCAAATTGATTCCTTTCGGTGAACTTCCAAGATTTTAAATTCTTTAAGATTAAAAGGAGATGGATATGGGGTATATTTTAATGACACAGCAAGTCAACAATAATTATACAGCTGTGATCCACCAAGAAACCATGTCAGCTGACTTACAGAATCAAACAAATTCCGGATCTCAGCTAGCGCTTTACAAGTAGACGCAACAAGAAGATTCAAAACGTGCGCTCTGCAATATGCTGATTATATGCTCTTGGTTCGCTTTTCTGTATGCGGGTTTTAATACCAGAAACATAACCAGACATCACGTTAGCACCATTTCTTGATTAACTAGGAAATAAAGACATGCTACATGTAAAGTGCACCACGGCACTTTTGTTGGTTGGGTTTTGTCCTGATATTTCTTGGAAGGTCTTCAGATTCTTACATGGTTTTGAACTTTTTCCCATTTTGAAAGGGTCAACCGGTGACGTACTAACCGAAACATTTACGTTTTTTTTAAGTCTTCATAATAAATAAAAATTTTATATAGAAACTGACATATGTATGAACCAACAGACATATATACTATTCATATCGCTGGAATTAATGTCTCCTTTAATTATTTAAAATTCTCTGCCAGTGAAAAACAAAAAATTTAAAATAGTGAGAATAAAACTTGAGAACAATATACAAGTTATTTTCTGTGCATGTTGATTGATATTAATATATTTTATTTCAATTGGTATCAAAGTCAATGAAACTCTTGTGTACTAATTGAAGTACTACGCGTAGGGGGAAAATGTCAACACACAGCGATATTTCAATTTTAGACGTAATAATCGGTTATATTTGAGGGTTTGAATGGGGGTCTTTAAATATTTATTTTTTAATTCTTTTTGTCCATAGTTTGATTTTCCTTTCTTTTATATTTAGCACCATTTATAATCTCTAATCTGTTAAGTTTGAATTAGTTACAGGGCATTTTTCTGTACTAGTATTCTGTAAACCTCACCAGACCCTCATATACTAGAAATTATTCTCACACAAAATTAATAATTTACCTGAATGTTCAAGTTATTCGATCGGGGAAGGCTCGTGAGTTGGATCATCATCTTTACTACTGATTTTGATTGGGGTAGCATTATATAAATTTGATCGGCTCAATTGTGTCGATTTCTTTGACTCCGACATTTTATGATTAGTGAAAACTACCGCAAAGGGATCGAGATTTCCAATTAGAGGAGGGAAATGTTTCCATAAGTCTTGAACTCGCAAAGGGTATGAATCAATAACGGCAACAAGACAATACAAGTCGGTATATTAGCGTTTAGTAGCGAGTGTGCTGCATTTTGTGAAACTTGTTAAAAAGATTATAAAGAAAAGTTTTTTTTTTTAATTTTTTCTTATATTGTTTTTTACCGAGGCAGTTGCCTCGGTTGCCTCAACGTAAGCTACGCCAATGTGTTATTCCATTGATTAAGAATGAATAATGTGGGTTGAGGTCTACCAAAATATTTGTCATGTTCACATCAGAAACGGCGTCAATAGTTGTCATATTTATATCTGAATGTTTATTCTGTAAAGAATTGAAATGAGTATGGAAAGCATATCTGTGGTAATTTTTGTAGAATTTGGTCACAACTTTTCCTCATTCGGAACTATTTAGAGCTTGGCATACTGTTAAAGACCATATGTTGCTGTCTTTAGTTTTCTATGTTGTGTTTTGTGTTTTGTGTACTGTTGTTTGTCTGTTTGTCTTTTTCTCTTTTAACCATGGCGTTGTGAGTTTATTTTCGACTTATGAGTTTGAATGTTCCTTTGGTATGTTTTGTCTCTTTTTTGACATCTAGGGATTTCTGTTCTGTCGTTAAATTGTTCTGTCATTGACCTATTACCAATATCACCCTTATCTTGTAATATGTTGGACCTTTGACAGAGCTTTATGTGTCTTTATTTAAGTAAGAAACAGAGACACTGTTTAAAACCAATTAGTGCATGATGACTACCATAAAACACACATATTTCTGAAAGTGATAATAAAGACGTTGCTAAAAGTCTTTCTTCTTGTCTTTAAGATTGATTACTTGATAACAACGACAAGTCGTTTAGCTTGGGTGCACAAAAGTACCGATTTTATTTTCGCTTAATAGTTGGGATATCTATTTAAAATCAATATAAATTGTAAATTAAAAGGTCTATTATGTTAAATGATCTCTCTTGTAGGTATTTGTAACTGCTATTAATATACTTCTAAACAAAATATGAGTTTCCAAACATAAAATGAAACACAAAAAAAAAAACCTCAAAAACGCTCAGACACATTATACTTTTATTTCCCAAGCCTGAGGGAGATATAAAGATCATATTTCCCGAGGGCATCGCCTAAGGAAAATTTGACTTTTCGAGGGTGAACAAATCTTCATATCTCACTAATCCAAGGGAAATGAATGTTTTATTTCGCTGCCTATACTTCTTATAACTTCATGAACATAAAATATTGATTTCTATACATTTTTTTTTTATCCGTTTTTATAACTAAACACGACATAAACATTATTGATAAGCAATACCAATCAAAAGATAATCGTTTATTCTATGACAGATTCAATTTTATCTCTATTTTGTTTTACATCTGAAAAGGTTTTGAACACGATAATGACTATACTATCGCTGTGTAAAAAAGTTTAAAACGTTAAGTACATTAAACTCGCGTAATGTTGCACGAGGTAGTCCAGATATTTCAGAGGGGAATATGATACTTAGAGGGGAATACGAAGTTTTGTTCAATGTCACGTGGGGCCGTCTAAACCAATCAAATGTTGAATTCGCTATCAATATTTACATACAGTGGAATAACATCAGATGTTATATGTTTAATTTTCATTATTATTTTACTTTATTAAATTGCTACTTGTTAACTACGATAGCATTTGCTAACGAACATGTTTCCAATGTAAAAGTAATAGGGTTATTAGTAGTACAGTGCAATACAATGCATCATCTTATCTGTCATAAAAATTGTATAAGTAGTTACTGTTATAGTACAACTTAAGTTGAATGAAATCGAGCCTGTTGCTTTATTATAAATAGGAAACCTGACGGAACAATATTTGTATGAAATGAAACCCGACTGTAAATATAAGACTTAACTAAACATCGAGGAACGTATAATTTCGGTAAATGTTTTGCGTATTTATTTTTTGTGCGTTTCTGCAGTTGAATTGTATGTATTTACCATTCCTTCAATACAACTGCGACTGACTATTAGCCTTTCAATTGATCATTTTCATCGGCACTGTCATGCTTAATTAATGCAGATATTGCGGGTCTGTATGTAGGAGCGCTCCGACTGAAGCTTTTTTTCATTTGCTATTCACTTAACCGATATAATTTCTCGCGGACTGTTAGTTCTCAAGGGTATCCTTTTTCAATCACTCCTTCGGAAAAATACCTTCACCAATTCAGGAAATATGACAGTGGTTGATATAGCCGTGCGTTTGTTTTTGTCAGTTTTATGGACTGTTCCTCTGTAAAATTACTTTGGAGTTTGATAATTTTATATAAAATGTTTCACTTAATTCTGCGTCAATCATTTGATCTGTACTTATACATTCAAAAGACCTCTGTAGAAAAGAAATCGTTATCTAAAGTCAATTTCAAACTGTTTATAGTAAAAGTTGAACTTGCATTTATCATGTTTATATGCAGCACTATTGATTATTGAATGCTGTTAATGTTTTTGCAAATATTTCTTTTTTTCCCACCAAAAATCACTATTTATATATAGATGGAGAGTGGGTGTACCGGAGTAAGGAGTTTATCGTTTGAAAGATATTTGAAACAATGACTTAACGATTTGGGCAAGAGCTCGAGATTACCCATAAATGATCCGGTTTAAAAAAAAATGGAAAATATGTTGTATTCTTCAAATACGTGCTACGGGTTGTACATAACTTAAGTTAATTAATGTGTTTATGTAACATCTATCTGCTTTCACGTCAACAACTCATTAGGAATTATATTATATTGACAAACGGCAAAATATCCAAGTAGCTCTATTTCTATCATTTCTATAAACAAAGTTTCCTACTTTTTTAAGTTTGCATACATCACTGGGTTTTGCTGATGACGACTACTAGTAATACAGAAAAGTGCTGCGAATTCGGCAAAACTTTGTTAACCACAGAAGCTAATTAATATTCAATGATATAATTATGATTTCTTCATTTTCACACTACAGAACTCACCAAACTACATTCTTATGTTTCAGGACACGTTGAAGAATACTTATCCTTGATTGTACAAAGATAAAACTATGAGTGGAGCAGAAAATGCGAAGAGAAAGCTACTTTTCATTTCTAAATTCATTTCCCCGTCAAATGCAGAAATCGATATCCATGGGATATGTGTAGCAGACGACAACTCCGTGCTTGTTAGTGATGTGAACAATAAACGCTTATTGAGGTATAACGAGTCAGGAGAATTTCAGAATAGTTGCCATTTTAGTATGATTCCAAGAGATATTACCGTTATACCAGGGAAGAACCAAGTCGCAGTCACCCTTCAGGAATCCAGGTTTAGTTGTAAACCAGGATTTATCGCTATATTGGACAGTGAACAATTAAACTTAATCAGCCAAAATGAAATCAAATGTACGCCATTCGGAATAGATTGGTATGAAAATTTACTTGCCGTCGGCAGTTGGAATACCGTCCAGTTTTATGATTTGAATTTTTCTTTTGTAAGGAGTATAGAATTGCCAGAAGATAAAATAGCTGTAAAATTTATTAAAAGAGGACCAGACGGAACTTTGTTTTATTCAACGTCGACCGCCAACTGTATATCCAGTGATGGAATCAATATTTTTAAATTTTCTGTTGAGAATGGAATCCCTAAAGGCCTATGTGTAGATAAAGATAAAATGTTGTACATTTCTTGTTGTAGCAGTACAATTTTAGGTATATCAGATAAAGGTCACCTCATCGGTACTTTACTCAAAGGGGATCAAGGATTAGGTCAATTAGGTTCCCTGTGTTTCAACAAAGATTATACCAAACTTTACGTTGCGAGTGATGATGGATCATCCCTGTCAGTTTTGGATTTTTTAAAAGAATAAATCCTGAAAAAATGATAAGGGAAGTTTTTAAGAATATTATTGTTCATTTTCTATTACCAAAAGGAATTTTTAGGAAGAATAATAAGAGATGACACGAAAAAATGGTGAACCAGTCTTATGCATGTTATGACGATGTACAGTACAAACTATACAATCGAGACCAAATAGTCAAAAGATCTTCATATAGCTCACTAATTAATATCCAAGAACAGTCATATGCAGAAACCAATAGAATATTTGTAAACAACAGCGTGAAAGTAGGACTGACGTAAATACACACACAATAGATTTTATTGTAAAGCCGATAATGGAATTTTCTAACTGTATGGGAAACTGTCAATTTATTTGAGTATATTCTATAGGATGCATGCTTTATTGTCGGGTCGCTGATGGAGTTTGTACACATCTATTTGTTTATGAACAGTTAATTAGTGTTTCTTCGGATGAATAACAAAATATGTGGCTATAGACAGAAAAATATCTCTTCCTTGAATTTAATATCCAGTTAATTAATTATGCATACACTAATTAAAGTATCTTTCAGACATTGTTTGCATTTGGTTAATACCTATCCATCAACTGTATAGAAAATATTTACTTGACACACTTAGTCTACCATTATCATAAAACTTACTATACGACCAAATAAAGAGACACAATCTGACTTTCTAAATCGGTGATTTTTAAGTTCTGCACTTATCTTCACAAATGAACAATTATGAAACATGATGAAAGCTATAGATGCATAAAAAAGCGGGAAACAATATTACGAAAAAAAAACCCAACATAAACTTAAAGCGACAGTAGTTGACTGATGTTTCAATCTCGTGAATTGATTACGTAGATACAAATCAAGGTAATGAACAAAATCTGAAGAAAGCGCATAAAATCAAAAAAGGAGCTAACCGGGTGCATCGAATTGGTAAGCTTTTCCTGCTATGCATGCTTCACCTGCCATGCGACTTCTCTCTTGGTCAAAATGTCACAATCTAGAATAGGGCACAGTCGGTTATTTTACAGATCAGACGACTACAAAAGAGAGGCGGACGATACCAAAGGGACATTCAAACTCATATTAAAGTCCAAAATAAACTGACGACACCATGGCTAAAAAAGAAAAAGACCAACAGATAAACAACAGTACAAAAACACAACATAGAAAACTAAAGACTGTGCAACACGAACCCCCACAAAAACTGGGGATGATCTCAGGTGCTCCGGAAGGGTGAGCAGATCCTGCTTTACATGTGGCACCCGTCGTGTTGCTCATGTAAGTACAAACCAGGTGTCTAATTCGGTAGGTCACATTTGGGGGGAAAGGGGACAACAATTGGAACATATCATCGTCATCATCTGTGAAATACATATTCCATAATGGTCAACCGACTCGTGATGGCGTCCGTAAAATCTACGAAGGAGTAGTAATATATGCGTCGTATGACCCTCAAACCTCAGACGCCGGACGCCGACGCCATATTTGGGCCTGGACGCCGACGACATATTTGGGCCTAAACGCGGACGCCATATTTGGACCTGAAATCGGGACGCGAACCTTAGGGCTGGACTATGTGACTCTGACATCGGGACGCCGACGCCATATTTGGGCTTAAACCCTGGACGCCATACCCTAGTGTTGAATCAGGCTACCCTCCAAGGTGGACACTATTAGTGACCCTTGACAGCGGTTTTCGGATAAATCTCTCTCACACTTCCAGATACAATATCTGGTTCAGGACTTGAGACCTGCTACACAACCATTTAGGTGGTTTAAGATTTTTTTTAACGGAAAACGGGGGCCGACCCTTCATAGTTAACGCTTTAACTTAACACATTTATACACTCTGAACCATAAGCCTGTACTACGTCGTAAAGGGAATAGTTTATGATGCACAACAAGTAAGATTCTTTTTTGAAAAAAAATTAGTGGCCCGTAAAAGGGCCGTTATGAAAGTCCCGTATATGATGGGAAAATCGTAGAAACTCTGACGTGGTGACCCACGACCTCCACGTAACTTGTCATTTGCTTTGTGGACACCCACACTCCATTCTTCAACGTCACTCCAACTGATTCTGGACAGGTTTTTTTTAATTTCCAAACTACCTCCACCCCGGTCTCGACTCTAATGTATTAACTTGACCCGTAACTGTCTTTATACAACTATCCATCATTTCTTCGTCCCAGAACAAGTCTTGCATGGAAACAGTTCAGTATAGACTTCAATGAAACTTCTACCACTTAAATAAGTTATTACTATCAGACATGCTTATAACAACTGTACGAATTCTCCAAGATACAATATTTATGTTTAATCAGTTAATCAGATAAACTGTCACTCAATCCAGTAGGTGGTACTATGAATAGATGCACGTGTAAAGATAACTGGATTAAAATGTTTGATATCATTTCATAAAATATGTTAAAAGGCATTACGAATGCTACTTTAAAGAACTTAAGCAAACAAACACATTGAAAACAGGTTTATGAAATACATGTATTTTTAATTGTGCTGATAAATAGTCAGCAGTTAACTTAAATAAGCAATGAGAAGAGGCTGGTTGTTTATCTCTTTAATAATTAGTGTAAACAATCGTAAACATTTCGGCACGCTATTGCTTTCGACTTCTTTGAACCACTTGATTAATATCATATGGTCATGATTAAAATTACACCCCCAAATAATTAGATAAAGAGATAAAGCACATCTGGTGGTTTAAAATAAGATATCCTTATACATTTTCTTTCAATTGCATGTATGCAGATGTGTACTATTTTATATAGTCCTAATTAACAGACATAAGCAAGTTATAGAAATATTGTCTGTGTGACAAGTCTGCGGTCGTAATTGATTTTTATATCTAAAAATGCACGAATAATGCAAAAATATTAAGAATAGAGAAATACGGGGTGCAAAAATATAAAGAAAAGAGAGATATAAGTGGCAAAAAATATAAAGAATGGAGAAATATGGGAGTCAAAAATATTAAGAATAGAGAAATATGGGAGGCAAAATATAAAAAATAGAGAAATATGGGAGGCTAAAATATAAAGAATAGAGAAATATGGGAGGCAAAATATAGAGAATAGAGAAATATGGAAGGCTAAAACATAAAGAATAGAGAAATATTGTTGGCAAAAATATAAACAATAGAGAAATATGAGGGGGCTTAATCATTAAGAATAGAGAAATATGAGAGGCAAAAATATAAAGAATAGAGAAATATGGGAGGCAAAAACATAAAGAATAGAGAAATATGGGAGACAAAATATAAAGAATAGAGAAATATGGAAGGCTTAAACAGAAAGAATAGAGAAATATGAGAGGCAAAAATATAGAGAATAGAGAAATATGGGGTATTAAAATATAAAGAATAGAGGAATATGGGGTGTTAAACAATAAAGAAAAGAGAAATATGGGCCAAATTTTTTTTTAAGGAAAATATGAATATGTATAATTGCATTTGCACGATCTTCGAAGACATATGAGAAGTTAGCATTCTTCCAATGAGCAAATATACCACCATGATCTAACCATGCAGCAGCAGCAGCAGCAGCAAAAGCAGCAACATCAGCAACAACAGCAACAACAGCAGCAGTAACAGCAGCAGCAACAGCAGCAGCAACAACAGCAGCAACAGCAGCAGCAACAACAGCAGCAACAGCAGTAAGGGATAGAAAAAGTGGATGCACTGTTCGTTGTATTTCCTCGTAAAGAGGTTGCCACCTTTTATACACGCAAACGATCCTTTCTGGACAAGAACTACACAGCCTTTTTATTTGTTGAAGCATATTTTTTCAAGAAATTAGTTTTTCCGCAGGATGTAGGACCGGACAAGATCATGGTGAAAGGGTGTCTAAACACGAAAGCCTTCGGCTGCTGCTGCTGTTGCTGCTGTTGTTGCTGCTGTTGCTGCTGCTGCTGCATTGTTAGATCATGGTGGTATATTTGCTCATTGGAAGAATACTTACTTCTCATATGTCTTCGTGGGTCACCACGTCAGAGTTTCTACGATTTTCCCATCATAGATGGGACTTTCATAACGGCTCTTTTAAGGGCCACTAATTTTTTTCTCAAAAAGAATCTTACTTGTTGTGCATCATAAACTATTCCCTTTACGACGTAGTACAGGCTTATGGTTAGAGAGTATAAATGTGTTAAGTTGAAGCGTTAACTATGAAGGGTCGGCCCCCGTTTTCCGTTAAAAAAAAATCTTAAACCACCTACATGGTTGTGTAGCAGGTCTCAAATCCTGAACCAGATCTTGTATCTGGAAGTGTGAGAGAGATTTATCCGAAAACCACTGTCAAGGGTCACTAATAGTGTCCAGCTTGAAGGGTAGCCTGATTCAACACTAGGGTATGGCGTCCAGGGTTTAAGCCCAAATATGGCGTCGGCGTCCCGATGCCAGAGTCACATAGTCCAACCCTAAGGTTTGCGTCCCGATTTCAGGTCCAAATATGGCGTCCGCATTTAGGCCCAAATATGTCGTCGGCGTCCAGGCCCAAATATGGCGTCGGCGTCCGGCGTCCGAAGTTTGAGGGTCATACGACGCATATAATACTACTCGAAGGGATGATTTTAACTTCACCACTTGGAACTCTTGGTTAAAAATCTAAGGATCGTAGACAGTGAAAAAATGCCGCTAGTGAGTTGAGACACCGACACATCGTATAAGTCAACCATTCGTGATGGTGACCGTAAAACTTGTGTAGTGTCGATTTCAGTCGTTCTCTCATAATTGGGTTAGAGCAGTTTTGTTTAAGGAGCATGTCCTTGTTAATGACACAAGTCCGTATATAGAGCACGACTGTAACGTATTAGTTGAGATATCTAAACGCCATTCCATCGAGTAGAGGATATGTTACTACTGAGAAATGGGAAGTTGACAATTGCAACGTCGGAATCATCACGTTTGTCATAGATTCTACTTTAAAGGCGTTCATCTGCGTCAATATCGAGGAAAAGTTCAAAATAAGATACAGACCTACTTTCGGTAGTATACTTAATCTAAAATTTATGAGATGTGCGCAATCATTGAAATGTGGGTTATTGAGTGACAGAACATCATCAATATATCCGACAGTAAACTTACAGAATTTTGCATGCTTTCTCAAATAGGCTTGTAGTAATAAAATTGAGAATGGAAATGGGGAATGTGTCAAAGAGACAACAACCCGACCATAGTAATGCACATTTAGAACCAATTAGTATACCAATGGTCTGCTCTAAAATCAATTCACCAAACTCAGCATATATGTTGTTGATAAAAAATTCCAGCATTTTGATGATATCATATTCAGTAAATTTGTTTTGGGAATCAGTGTGGTCTTTCACTAAGATTTTTCATGATCTTAAATAAGGATATTCAAAAATAACTTAGATTTTGCTTATATAGCTCTTCAACTGTTCTTAAACATCCTTGGCTTTAAAATATTCGGCTTTGAGCGTTCCTGATGAAGGTAAATACAGAAAAGCACTTCGGACGCATGCAATTTATAAGTGTTGTTTTCATTTTAAACCGGATTTCCGAAAGAAAAATCGGTTATTGA